CGGATGATATACTTGCATATAGGCGGGGTGAAGAGAGGGAACAAACAGCCCGGGAGCTACAAGCGACAGTAGACAAAGTGACTGAGTGGTGTACAGAAATTAAGGCTGTCGTTCACCCGGAAAAGGCGTCTGTTTTGTTGTGTTCTCTGGACAACAGAATCGTTAAAGCTAATGTCCCAAGTCTCACGATAGATGGTAGAAACGTCAACAGAGAGCAAACTGAAATATCTGGGAATTACATTTGACAGGAGCCTATCATTTAAGGACCACGCGGAGAGTGTTGTGACGAGATGTCAAAAAGGACTTAGTGCACTTAAGACTATGGCTGCAATTAACATAGAGCGGAGAATGCTTTTCGCACTATATCAGCGCCTGATCATATCAGTGGTGGATTATGGCCTGGGACTGCTTACCGTCTCAAAGAGTCAGATGGACAAACTAGAGAGCATACAGAACACGGCTATGCGGGTCATTCTGGGTTGCACCAGAGACACCCCAGTGGTGTGTATGCGATACATCCTTGGTTTGCCGACGGTTGCAGGTAGGCACAAGGTGTTGCAGGCGAAGTCATATCTCAGGGTTCTGCAGACACAGACCACCCTCTGCATGAAGCTCTGGATGCAGTTAAGGGTCAGCGGCTGATAAGAGGGAGGTCATGGATGGCTCAGGTATAAGACACAATCAGACAGGTTTGCATCCTTGAGAACATTAGGCGAGGAGAAGAGTGGGTCAAAGTGCTACCTGAGCAGTCAGACTTGTGTAGAGTCATAATCACGCTGAGCCGGGAATGCAGAGACTGGCCAGCAGGTGCCACAGAGGTGGAAATTCAGCAATTAATTCAAGAAAATGCTCGCTCAGAGGATTTGATCATTTACACAGACTATTCAGTGTCAAGAGACAAAAGAAGTGCTTGTGGCTTGTTAGCAAAAGTTAATGGTCGACGTTTGGTGCAGGAGAGCCTAGCATATGATACCACAACATCCAGCTTAATAATGGAGGTGGAGGCGGTCACTGCAGCTTTCCGCTGGCTAGAGAATACGACACACACACACATCGTGATTGTAACTGATTCAGAAAGCATGCTGAGGAAGATCAGAACAGGCATGCTTCATGCAGAGTGGCATGCTTCGCTGCGGAGAACATGGGTGAGGAGTATTGTCTGGATTTTTTCACCGGGGCACGCCGGTGTGTTGGGAAATGAACAGGCGGACAGATTGGCTGGCTCTACACAACTTGGTGGAATACTGACACATGATAAGGCAGACGTGGTTAGTGCCTTGTGGGAGAGCGTGTACAGTTTGGAGGAGCAAATGGATCACCACAGTCTGGTGAGACTGATGCAGCGGGGAGTGACGAGAGATTCTCGAAGATGCTCGAGGCTCAGAGGAAAGGCAAGACGGACGTTTAATCAGAATGCTACTGGCACCCTTACTATCGGAACTCTTCGCTGGCTGCTGAAGATGGGGACGAAGCGCTTATGGGAATGCCCCGAGTGCTGTGATGTCGGTTCTTGAATCAAATCAAATCAATCGATTTGCCCATGCTAGTTCTTTAGGCCAGCGGCTATCTCCATGGTCATGCTTGACGTAATTTTCTGGTAAGCACCGCTGTCATCTTTAATTGTTTACCCCATCCTTTGTGACGTGCATGCTCATGCTGACCTTGATCCACACTTTATTTATAATTTGGATATTTTAAATCTAATTAGTAAAAAGTGAAGTAAAGATCGCTTTTCTAGCCTTAGGCGCATCGGGAATTTGGGAAAAGCACCTCCATTTTTACAGACCAATCGGCGCAAGTGTGGTGGTAAGAATTACGCCGGCCGCCTTACTTCCCAGGACATTCACCGTGGTACCCATTTAAGGCTGGTTTAACCTGTGACGCCCCATACTATAATAAAAATCCACACAGCCAGCAGTGGGCTTCGATCGCGGCACGTTGGAATTGCGAGTCGGACTCGCAACGCCTAAGCCACGGACAAATCTAATAACATCACCTAAAAACGAATATCCGTATGGAGACGAACACATTTGGGGACGCAATCAGGATTTTTTAAACTTTAGGAGAAAACGAGCGCCTGTTTCACAACAATGGAACGACCAGCCACAATTTGTGATGGATATTTGATGATTATATTGTTGCTTAATAATTAGGATTGCATTTAAAATGGGCAGTAAAAAACACAAGAAACATAAGTCGGAAAATAAACCAGTGGTTGACGCAGAAGGTATAGTATAGTTAATTTTAGACTGATGACAATGTCTTCTTTACGTTCGGCCTCATCGGGCATCGAGACTAATGTCTAATTTCTAATTCAAATTGATTATTGAATTAGTAATTCAAATTGACTGTGTTAGTACTGTTACCACATGCTAGGCTAGTGAAGTTTTATTTATTGTTTTCTTTTTATTCGTTCTAATGAAAATTTCACAGCTAGATAGAGATTAGATTAAGACATCTATTCCAACTCCAACTTTGGCTCTCCTCCGAACTTCTACACCCGGCAATATGGCGGCCAAACAACAAATACCCTAACAGGGCCTCAGTCCTGAAAAATGTGGACTTGTCGGACTTCCGGCCGAGGAACAAATCGCGGCAAAACTAGGATCCGCTGAATAACGAAACAAATGCTCTAACACTTAACAGGGTCTCAGCGATATGTTAATTGCGGACCTGTTTCTGTGACTATGCCTCACCGTCGACAGTATCCCCAGTATCAGCTACCACGCATCTCCTGCAACTTCCTCCAATTTATTTGCTCGTGAGTCCCAGGCATCTAGTTAAGCCCCCCATCCGCGCCGCGCGTAGCGGCACAGGGGATACTGTTGGTGGTGAGTCTAATCAAAGAGCCAGTAAAACATCATCATCATGACTGTTCTCAGTTATGTTGCAGCTGGCAAAGAACGAGCCAGTGCACACGCTACACTCAGTACTACAGCGACAACAACAGGTATCTGTCAGAAGCCACCTGCCGCGCTGCCAATGACATAGCACCCTGGCAGGACGAATAGCGCGTCGTATCCCCGCCATGTCGCTTTTATCGTCTGTAATGTTGCGTGTCTCGAAATTGTCTATGTCGCTATTATCGTCTGCTACTATCGTCTGCAGTGTTGCGTCTCTTGAAATTGACAGGTAATCCTAGTTTTGCTGCAATTTCTTTGTCGCCGGAAGTCACACATTTTTCATAGGACTGAGGCCCTGTTAGGATAATTGTTTCGCCGGTTTAGAGTTTAGAAGTTCAGAGATCTCCAACTTTTCTAGGGCGGGACGCAATCTTTTTTTTTTTTTTTTGGGGGGGGGGGGGGGGGGGGGGTAATTTACATAATAAATAACATTCTTTCATATTTAATATTGTTTTGAGGTTAGAGTTAGGACAAACCCTAAGCCTAACGCTAGCATGAAGCTCTGAAGTAATATTAAATATTACAAAACTATATAATTATATTTATTATTATTATGTGAACATATACAAACGAGTCCTAGTCCTTTTAAGAAACAATTAAAAGGTCGACCACTTTCAGACATATACAAATGATAGATTGTGTCCCTTATGATCACTAAACAAACAGTAGACTGCGTCCTCTAGTGTCGCCGTTCGAAGGAGTGCTACAAATTATATTATTAGAGATGCTAGCATAGAACCATTCCTCATTGCTGCAGTTATTGCTGGCATCTTTTGTCTTTCGATGAGATAGTTTTACAGGGTGCCATGACAACCACAGCCATGTCTGTGGTAAGAAATATCCATTTGCATAAAATGTCTTCCACATTATTTGCACAAGATTTATTACTACTGCTGCCATCACATTTTAAGATGTCTTGCTCAAATGCTCAACTCTTAATTTATGTACAGTTATATAGAGGCAGAAAATATACCCTAACAGGACCTCAGTCACGTGTCAATTGCGCACTTCCGGAGACTATACAGGCACCGCCGAATTGCGCAATTGCGCTAGATGACTGGGACTTACGAGCAAACAAAATCAGGGCAGCTGCAGGAAATGGGGTAGCTGCTGCTCGTGAGTCCCAGCCATCTAGTCTCTTGGCGGTGGTGGAAGTACGTAATTTAAGTCGCCGGAAGTGCGCAATTGACACGTGACTGGGGCCCTATTAGGGAATATTTTCTGCCTCGATAATTAGGGACCGTTATTCGGAAGATAGCCAAATTTTGGGACAGCAAAAATGAGCAATCTAAACATTTGAAAAGAGCCAATACAAAGACATGTGTGTCTTGTTCAAATGCTTAACTCTTGACCTATGTGCGGTTATTTTCTCCTTTCGCTTCCCGATTTCACCTCCTGTTAGGCTTCAGGGATAGGGTTTTGCATAATAATATTAACAATCATTTCGACAGTTAAAATAAGTAATTTAAATTTTTTTAAAAGAGCCAATAATACAAAGAAATCTCACCACAAACATCAGAGACAGCCAACATGCTTTTTTTTTTTAACCATTGCATGAATGGTGACATGTGGCAGATGGACAGGTGTTAAGAAAAAGAGGAGGGCAGCAAAGCAGATTCTTAAAAGGCCATTTATTGGACCTAGACGGGTATCATCACAGGACTGGTGCTTGTGAGAAGCATAATTGGCGTCTCGGTCGGCAAGCTGATGAGGATTTATATTTCAGATACAAAAAGACTGAAATTATGTTTCCTTGTGGGGGTTCCTGGCTCCATTGATGAAGAAGGATCGACCCACTGCCCCCTAACAAGCATGCCGAAAAAAAGTGACTTATTAGAGCTGTTTCCATCAAAGTTGTAGTGCGTATGCCTAGAAGTGAGGAACCAACAGTCAGCATACAAAAAACCAGAACTGTAAAATGTATGTGCACAATAAAATTAAGTCCTGGAACTAGACCAAAACACAGAAGTGGAATAAGAACCAGAACTTTCTGCGCTAGTTTACAGCCAGTGAACGCTAAAAAGAAACATTTTTGTTGTTGTTGGCACAAGAAATTTCTTGACTTGAAACATAATTTGTGTAACTTTTCTCCTTCAGCAGGTCCTCAGGAAAAGTCTTTAAAGTTGAAGCTGAACTTGAAAGTTGGTATCGGCTCAGGTCAGGAGCCGTTGCCCAGTGCTTCTCCCTCCCAGGCTGAAGAGCGCAGACATAAGCACAAAAAGAAGAAGAAAAAGAAGTCTGGCGACAGAGAGAGAGATCGATCAAAATATGTTGAAGATGAGGTAGAGTGACTTGCACATTAAGTACAATAAGTATATGATTTATGCAGTTAATAATGGATGAATTCATTAATCAATCACTAATCAATTGAGTGTCTTGTTCAGAATGATGGGTGGCTTGGGATAGATTTCCAGTACTTTCTATCACTTCATTTTGTATTCTGATAAATTCTTTCTTCTCACTTTCTAACATTGTCTACCTCTTGCTTACATACCTTTTGTTTTGCCTTCAGTATAGTTTTAAAATTCATATTTATATATGTTACTTTGGACTATAGGGAGCCACCATGGTTTACCAGCTAGATGCTTTTAGTGGATCCAAAAGTCGTGGGTTTTGAATCCGAACGATGACAAACTTTTAAACAGCAAAATGATCTTAGCTCCCAGGTCGACCCAGCCTTGAGTGGGTACCAGGTGAAGTCCTGGGAAGTAAAGGTGGCTGGTGTGATTGGTCTATAAAATAAAGGTCTAGCCCTATATGCCTAATACACCTGAAGGCGAGGAAAAGGTTTTTTACAGTACTTTTACTGAGACTCTAAGGGAAACAAGCAACAGAATAGAGTTGAGTCAAGAATTGACATCACAGCACTCGGGGCATTCCCATGCATGCTCTGTCCTCATCTTCAGCAGCCAGCGCAGAGTTCCAATACTGATGGTACCGGTCACAATCTGGTTATATGTCGTCTTGCCTTTCCTGTGAGTGTAGTGAGCTGGCCAGACCTCTCGTCATACCCAGGTGCCTCATTCTCTTCATGCCATAATAATCTTGTTTCTCTACTGATTCCGTTGCTTGTTCCCAAAGAGCCTTGACCATCTGCCTTGTCATGTATCAGTTCACCACACAGATGTGTAGTTCTAGCCAATCTGTCTGCCTGTTCATTACCCACTCCGCAGGCATAACAGATTAAAAGTATGCTCACTACCCGTGACCTTTCCAGTGAAGCTTGCTAAACGATATTATAATGTTTACCTTATCTGCATTTCACAACAAGGGATTAGGGAAGATTGTGACTGATTCCATATAAAACATTTACCTACTCTACATGTCATAACAGGTGACTAAGGAAGATTAAGATTATCCATATTCGCTTATATCCAGTCATCAAGTGTCCCTTATCCTAAATGAGGGTATCCTTATCAATAGATCCATATTTACTTATATCCAGTCATCAAGTGTCCTTATCCTAAATAGGGATTTGAACACATGACCATGTTGCTGGCAGGCAAGTATGCCAGTTACTGCACTACTGTGCTCCCTCATAGTGCATCAAGGCAATCTTTTTTAGAATATTCCTACATTTGCAGTTTTCGCAACAATGTAAAAATGTTACCAGTGTTCTTTTCCTAGGTGCCGCTTAAACGTCCATATGAAGATGATGAAAGTGCTGATGATGATGAAGAGGATGAAGAGGACCTAGCGGTGAATGAAAGAGAGGAGTCCATGAAATCCCAGATAGACAGAGAAGAATCTGATGGCAATATTTCTCCGAATCGAAAGCTGAGAGAACCCCGCTCTTGCACACTCAGAGAACACGATAGAGCAATTCTCAAACTAATGCTAAATTACCTGTTAAAAGTATTGCAGAAGTAAGTAGATATGATTTTTTTGGGTCTGTTTGGCCATCCTTCATTTGTGTCATTTTCTTTTTGTTCGCCTGACGTTAACTCGAGCGGAAAGACTTGTCGTTTGTCTACTTCTGGACTTTGGTAGTTTTGTTCCAGGATTTGAGTTTTGCATGCACTCTAACACCGATCTAGCTGATTCATTGCACACTGTTGGTTCCTTACCTCTCAGACAGATGCCCTCTGACCTGGAAGGAAACGTCGAGTCTCTGTATGTTGGTTTGACCTCCCGATAGGGAACCTTTTCTAGGATGACTGTGGAGAGATGCAGATAGGTCTTGACCACGGTGAGCCATTATCCTGATGTGCTGCCACATGTTGATCAGCACCTCTGCAGCTCTTCATCTTAATGATATATACCCCATATGGACCTAATACTAAAAAAAAATTTAGAACAGTGAACCAATCTTTGATAGATCAGATGATACTGCCATCTGTTTGTCGTGTCTGCAATGATTTGACTCATTGAAAACGTATCAGAATGAAAACCTAAAAGTTTAATGCTGAGCATACACTTAATGTGGATTAAACATGCTGATTTAACTCTGTCGTCCTGTGAGTGCCAAGATGTCTGCTTACTGATCTTTCTGATGGCATGACAACTTTAGGCAGTCGTCACTATGCTGTATACCAGTTTTGGTACTGGTCACAACAGCATAGTGTCTAGACATATTTACTTTTTAAAAAAAAGTGAGATTAATTAGAATGAAGTAAAAAAAAAAAATGGTGTATTGGCTAGTACACTTGCCTGTCTGCTCGGAGGTCATAGGTCAACATCCTGCATTTTTATAATCCAGACTCCATCTGCCTTTTCTTGTCTTCCTCTAGTTTCTTTGTGTAGAGTTTCTGAGAATTAGAAGATTGCATTTCTTCTAATATGCTTTGGACAGTGGTAATTTTGTCAGATTCTTTTGGGGTAAAATGGTTCAAATTCGCCTTCGTTGTCATCATCATCCTATGGGCTATCATATGTTATGCAGCCTCGGAATGAGAGATCTGTGCAGCTGCCACCAGTTTATAGCCTGATACTGCTAAGGCCCAGGACTGGGGGATTATGGGTAGAACTAAGTTCCCTTGACGTATGCATACCAAGGGTAAAAATAAAGTGGTTTTCAAGTGATATACGGACTCAGCCACAGGAGTGACTCGATTTAATGGCCATCACCTCCATGAAACAGACAACTTAGTGATTCTCAGTTATGTCATGACAATTTGACTTGATTGCTTTCTTTCTCCAACAGCAAAGATGTCAATGGCTTTTTTGCCTTTCCAGTCACTGACAGCATCGCTCCTGGCTACTCTGCTATTATCCCTAACCCCATGGACTTCAGCACAATGGCCGCCAAAATTGAATCGGCCGAGTATGTCAATGTCATGGATTTCAAAGTAAGTAATACAAGGTTAACTCTTGCAGTCCCGGGCAGTGTTATTTTAGCTTATTCTTATCTCTGCGGTTGTTAATATAAAGTAGTGAATGTTGGAATGTAAAGTGTTTCAGATATCACTATTGTGAGACTTACAGGATTTATATCACAACTGGGCAAAAAGCAGTTAGTGTAACACATGAAATGACTTCAGAGAGTTAAGAACTACACCATGCTAGAAATAACTAGTAAACACATGAAATGACTACACAGAGTTAAGAACTACACCATGCTAGAAATAACCAGTAAACAAATGGTACATTTGTTAATACTGAATGAGTTCAACAGACCTAGGCTTCCAGGTTGATCCAAACTAAAATGGGTGCCAGAAAATGTCTTGGGAAGTAAAAATGGGCAGCGTTATGTCGACCAAATCACCCAGTGTATACCGATAGGTCTGTACAAATGAGTAGCGCCATATGCCCAATTCAGCACTGGCAGGGACAAAATGTACAGGTTAACAGTCTTAAAAGCTTATGGATAGCCCCCGTGTGGGTTCTGGGGCCCCATTATGGGGAAAACAAGAATAGACCCACTGCCTCCCCAACAAGCATGTCGTAAGTGTTGACTAGTTAGGAGCTTCCTTCGAAGCCAGAGTGCACATGCCTGAGAGGCAAGGAACCACCATACATGTAGTTTTCAGTTTGCATTTCAACGTCTAAGGATAAAGCGCATGAACACTTGTGTATCAATATCTCACTGTAACTTTAATGATGCTCTTTTAGAAAGACTTCATGCTGATGTGCAACAATGCCATGACCTACAACAGACCAGACACCATCTATTACAGAGAAGCCAAGAGGCTGCTCCACATTGGGGTTCGACAGCTGAGTAAGGTAGGAACTGGGTAGGGTTTGTTTCTGGAGTAAAGTGTGTCCTGGTGCTGGCTGTGTTTGTTAGTCACAGTCCAGCTGGTGGGAGTTGAGCATGTCTTAAGTTGGAACAGCAAGATACAAGATGATGTTTTATTCAATGTTGTATTAAGAATCGACATCACAGCACACTGGACATTCCAGTAAGTGCTCCGCCCTCCCCCCCTCCCCCACCCCCCATCTTCAGCAGCAAGCACATAGTGCCAATTCTGATGGCACCAGTTTTAGTCTAATTGTGTATCCTTCTCGCCTTTTCCTTGAATGTTGAGCACGCCAGATTCCCTGGTCACTCCTTGCAACACCATTCTTCTCAGACTGTGACGATCTGTTTGCGCCTCCTCACTGTTCACTTGCTCCCAGAGGGCAACATCTAGCTTGTCTTCTATCAGCTCACCACCAGGTGGTGCGGAACCAGTATGTCTGCCTGTTCGTTTCTCAACACAGCGGCATAACCTGTAGAAAGTTACAATCAGGATGGATGATGTTATATCAGATATATTGACAGTTCTGATAAGGTGACTGGCAAAATACTTTATTGATTCTTCTTCTTCTCCTCCTCTCCTTCCTATTCTTCTGTCTTCTTCCTCCTCTTCATTCTTCTTCCGCTTTCCCTTCTTTATCTTCATCTCTTTTCCTCTTCCACTGCCTTTTCTTCTTCCCTTTTTTTCTTCTCCACTCCTCCCTCTAGGGGCCTATATACAATTTTTTTTAGTCATGAACCAAGTGACGCAGACTGAAACAAACCTAGGGCTTTCGGAGTGTGAGGCAACACTGCCACAGACAAAATTACTGAGAGGTTTTTAATATGTGCAACAGGGACGAAGGTAATCCTAATGTTTGTGCTGCGGTCGATGAAGATCACACATTTGATCCACTGCCTTGAGTTAAGTGAGCAAATATTATCATTTTTAATTTTAAAACCAAAAAACAAAAACAAAGAACCCTGTCTGCTTTTGAGTGAAAGGCACTGGTCTACCCCATCCCTAACATCTGCATCTGCCAGTTGATAGCCTGTAGCTTGTCTATAGATTTTACTTCTGTTTTTTTTCTCTTTATGCATTCATTCTTTGTAAAGATCTTTACAGATCTGCTTATTTGAGTGCAGACTGTTGGTTTTTTGCCTCTCACGCAGATGCACTCTGACTTTGAGAGAAATGCCAGTCCTATTTATGTTGACCAAAGGTTAAAGTTAAAGGTTAAAATTGAGAGGATTGACTTCATTGCACCGGGTTTTATCCCACATGGCGCAGTCTCTCTTTGCAGAACGGTCAGCTGCCTGCTGTAAGCTCTGCGCAGAGCACAAACTCCGTAGCTCCAGCTACGATCCCCAGGGTTCTCTGTAAAAATTGCTCTCGTGAACTAAAGGGTGCAGCCGTGAAATAAACCCACTAATTTCAGAGCACAAGGCAGGTGGCTTTGACCACTTCTCCCGTGTAGACCAGCCTCGCTCCACCCTTCCCCCCCCCCCCACTCGGGAACCTGTTTTGAGGATGACCACAAAGAGTTGTCTTGACCAGCAGGAATCCCAGTCCTTGTGCACCAACACGGTGTGTTTAGACACCTGCACACCACAGATCTAGTGAGCACTACCACTGTTTTTTACAAGCAGCTGTAGCTGTAGCTGCTAGAAGCTTGCCTGCACATATGAAGGTGGTGCTGGGTTCAAATCCAAACGGAGCCAGACTTTGTATCTTGGCTCTCAGCTTGACCCAGCATGAAATGGGTACCAGGTTAAGTCCTGGGAAGTAAAGGTGGCCGGCATGCTGTTGACTACATCACCCACTGAGTGTCGATTGATCTATAAAAAATATACCCAGCACCATATGCCCAATATACCTGATGACCTGGAAGAGGGTCCTTTACTTTTACTTGTTTACAATGTTTTCAGGAAAAGTTACTCCATCTGAAAAAGACACAAAGCTTTCTAGCCAGCATAACATTGCAGGAGCTTGGGTTCGACGAGAGCGGTCACGTAGTAGAGACCGTTGTCCAGCCGGTAGCAGAAGAATCTAAAGATAAGCCTAAGGAGGAGCCAAAGTAATTTAATATTTGTATGTAGCTATTAGTTAGTAATCTTTACACACAACAGGCAACAGAGAGAAAAAAAAACAAATCACATTTTTATTATGGTATTCATAACTTATCTGCAGTTGGATTACTGGTAGTCTTGCTGATTCTTTCGTACTTATGTTCAGTAGTTACCCTAAAATAAATTCTTGTTCTTGTAAATATATAATATGTATGTTTAGTATTATTTTTTTAATAGATACATGTTCTTGGTTCATGTAAATCAGTAGAACTTATTTCAGTGATTACCCAAAAATAGATTCTTGTTCTTGTTGAATAAATCAATCTGTGGAAGTTATGTTCAGTGTGTTTTTTTGTTGAAAATTGATACTTGTTCTTGTTTCATGTAAATCAGGAGTGCTCACATTCAGTGATTCCCCAAAGTTAAATTCCTCTTCTTGTTGATTCAAGTAAATCTAAAGAACTTATCTTCATTAAGTATCTGAAAATAGATACACTGAAGCTCGCGATGGGTTCTTTGACTACATGACGCTACACAACAATCGCTTTCATATTTTTTGCGCTATTCAGTATTTGTGTACTTTAGTGTGTGCTTTGCATACACATCTTGATTAAAATAAATCTGAAAAAAATTATTGTGCTCAGTAATTATCTGAATATAGACTACTGTTCTTCTGATAGTCGAAAACTTGGTGAAAGTTTATGAACTTCATGTTAAAAGAACAGGAATAGATACCTATATATTTTTTCCAGATAGTTTAACTGAAACAAGAACACAGATGTGATCTGAGACTGGTGATTATGTGAGATAGGCCATGTTAGCAGGTGTTTATGCATATGCAACATGAAGGTGATAATAAATGTTTATTGTGTGTAGAATAATGATTCATCATCATCCTGTAGCGCTGCATGTCACTGGGTCACCAGTGCTGCATGTCACTGGGTCACCAGTGCTGCATGTCACTGGGTCACCAGTGCTGCATGTCCCTGGGTCACCAGTGCTGCATGTCATTGGGTCACCAGCGCTGCATGTCATTGGGTCACCAGTGCTGCATGTCATTGGGTCACCAGTGCTGCATGTCATTGGGTCACCAGTGCTGCATGTCATTGAGTCACCAGCCCTGCATGCTGCATGTCACTGCTGGTCATCTCATTGCTGCATGTCATTGTGGGTCACCAGCCTTGCATTGTCATTGGGTCACCAGGGTAATCTCGGGCTGTGTCATTGGGTCACCAGTGCTGCATGTCATTGGGTCACCAGCCTTGCATGTCATTGGGTCACCAGTGCTGCATGTTCCTGGGTCACCAGTGCTGCATGTCACTGGGTCACCAGCGCTGCATGTCATTGGGTCACCAGTGCTGCATGTCATTGGGTCACCAGTGCTGCATGTCATTGGGTCACCAGTGCTGCATGTCATTGGGTCACCAGCCTTGCATGTCATTGGGTCACCAGTGCTGCATGTCATTGGGTCACCAGTGCTGCATGTCATTGGGTCACCAGCCCTGCATGTCATTGGGTCACCAGTGCTGCATGTCATTGAGTCACCAGTGCTGCATGTCATTGGGTCACCAGCGCTGCATGTCATTGGGTCACCAGCGCTGCATGTCATTGGGTCACCAGTGCTGCATGTCATTGGGTCACCAGAGCTGCATGTCATTGGGTCACCAGCGCTGCATGTCATTGGGTCACAGCGCTGCATGTCATTGGGTCACCAGTGCTGCATGTCATTGGGTCACCAGTGCTGCATGTCATTGGGTCACCAGTGCTGCATGTCATTGGGTCACCAGTGCTGCATGTCATTGGGTCACCAGTGCTGCATGTCATTGGGTCATGGCATGCATTGTCACCACCTGCAGTGCTGCATGTCATTGGGTCACCAGTGCTGCATGTCATTGGGTCACCAGTGCTGCATGTCATTGAGTCACCAGTGCTGCATGTCATTGGGTCACCAGTGCTGCATGACATTGGGTCATCAGTTGCTGTTGATTGTCAAATCAGCTGCCTCCACCTTTGACGGTCAAAAGCGATGGACTTAATGGTTGCATGCCTAAGGCCTGTCCTGTCAGTCAGGTTCTGCATCCAGGTCTTTCTCGGTCTGCCTCTTTTCTTCTTCCTCTCTACTGAACCCTGCAGTATTGTTTCTTGAGAGGCCGTTAGATCTTATTACATGTCTGTACCATTTCATTTACCTGTCATTTCCCTGTAGTCAGAAGAGGTTATAGTTGCCAGTAATGATTGGATTATTAAATTCATGCTGTTCTGATACATCTAAGTCCATTTGTTTCATTCATCATCTTTACTATTTTGAAACACAGGCCAGAAGTTGAACCCATTAAGTTGGACACAGTAGCAGACGATGAGATGTCAGCAGAAGAAATCCTTGCCCAGGCTCAAGAAGCAGCAGAGAAAGTCAAAAATGAACTGACAACTCGCAAGCCTAAAACAGATGTAAGATATGAGTTGTAACTTTCTTCTGGTATGAGTTCAAGAGCTTTATTTGGGATAAAACGTGTTTGTGGTGGGGGTGGGGGGGGGGGGAGGAGGGTGAGATAGACCCAGCCTCATAACAAGCATGATGTCAAAGGTGACAAATTAAGAATCTGCTGAAATCAGATGTGTTGGGCCAAAAGTGATCCAGATATCACAGCCTATCTGTAAATCACCAAAACAGCTTGACATCAATTTTTTTAAGGACAAACATAGAAGAGAGGAATGTCAGCTTCAATAAGTGTGAATCAGTTACTATCCAGTTTGCATGTTTGGTCGGTATTTTCAGCATTAGAAAATCTCTACAGAGGTAAGTAGCGTGTCTGGTCAAGGACCCTTACTACATTTTAAGATGCATTAGGCATATAGGACCTATGTTTGATAGACCAATCAGCACTCGTTGGGTAATGTGGTCAGCATGAAGCCAGCCACCTTTACTTCCCAGGACTTTGCCTGGTACCCATTTAAGCCTGGGTTAATCTGCCACCAAGGCCATTTTGGAAAAAGTCCAGCCGTATCATACAGAGGTAAACCACGCTGGATTACAAAATAACTGATTACAAATTTATTTACAAATCAGTATCTGTTTGTTATTGATTGATTTAAGACTGTTCGTTAAGTAGTCGTCAAGATATCTGTTTGTTATTGATTGATGTGAGATAAGCAAGATGTTCATGAGATATAATGTGATTAAGAGGTTGATTGGGAAATAAGGAGGGAATGTGTATTGTGAAGAGGTTAGAAAGATGCGATGAGATATAATGTGTATTGTGAAGAGATTAGAAAAGGTGCGATGAGATATAATGTTATGTGAAAGAGGCTAAGGGAATCCTGCTGATGACTACACATAAATTATTGTGAAGAGGCTAGAAAGGATGCGATGAGATATAATGTGTATTGTGAAGAGGCTAGAAAGGTGCGATCCATATAATGTGTTGTGAAGAGGCTAGAAAAGGTGAGTCAGATATAATGTGTATTGTGAAGAAGGTTGCGATGAGATATAATGTGTATTGTGAAGAGGTTAGAAAGGTGCGATGAGATATAATGTGTATTGTGAAGAGGCTAGAAAGGTGCGAAGTGATATAATGTTTATTGTGAAGAGGCTAGAAAGGTGCGAAGTGATATAATGTGTATTGTGAAGAGGTTAGAAAGGTGGGATGAGATATAATGTGTATTGTGAAGAGGCTAGAAAGGTGCGATGAGATATAATGTGTATTGTGAAGAGGTTAGAAAGAAACCAAGTCTAACACAGGAACTTGCTATGTTGTAAAAAAAAGGCAGAAATTCACTTGCAGTGGATTCCGTCTCACTGTGGCGTCAAAGGCAATGAAAGCGCAGATGCTTTAGCCAAGGAAGGCAGTAACAAACCACAGACCTACCAGCCACTATCTTTTCCAGAAGTCAAAACTCTCATTAAGAGAAAATCAGAAACAGATTGGAAAACCAACAAGGGTTATAACTACGGAAAAGATTTTATGAAACCTTGAACAGAACAGACCAAGTCAACAGTTTTTTTCGCTTACGTACTGGACACTGCAGACTCAATAAACACTCACATAAATTAGGTATGAGCCAAACAGCTCTCTGCCAGTGCATTCTTGCTGAACAGACTCCAGAACATGTCCTGCAAGACTGTCCTCTCCTGGCGGAGCTGCAGAGCGACATATGGCAACACCCAGTAGAACTGACAACTAAGCTTTGGGGAAACCTAAGAGACCTTGAAAAGACATCCCAGTTTATGACCCACAGTGGATTATGTGCATGACCAGAGATCGCTGAAGAAGAAAGTAACTATTTACCTGCCTGTGGTGTATCGAGCATACAGATCCTCTGCTGAAGTCCCGCTGACTCTTTCTCTTGAGATATGGATGCGTGTCTGTTCTGTTGCACTGTTCACTTGACCTTCCGTTGTATACTGCTGTGCGAAAGATGGTTGACTGGAAGGGCTGAATGTGAGAGGGGCCTGCGTGCCCAGTTTGTGACCCTTTAAAATTAAAGTTAGTTCTTTTGTTAATACCGGACACAACAGACTCTGCAGCCATATGTACAAGAAATTTAAGATTATGGATTCAGAACTGTCCTTATGAGGACAGCAACCACAGAATACTTGAAGATGTGCTATAGACATGCTTTCCACATGCAGCAGAGTAGTCCCAGCTTTGGCTGGTTAGTCTTCCAACAGAACCCAAGCTGTATGGAACAGGGGAAGACAAGTGTGGCACCACAGACTTTATAGAGGCCTATGACCTTCTCATCTGAAAATCACTGGCAGGGGGAACAAAAGGAAGAAGTCTTGACTCCAGGAAGCTTTTACCAGGTCTGCTTTATCATATAGTAGCTCACTGACCAGAGAAGAAGCTACAGCCTATCTATCAGCCCTAGGCAGCAAAGATATTGTGTTCCTGATTTGATCCAACCTACCTATCATAGAATTGTGTCCTGATTTGAGTGGAAGAAATGTTATCAGCCTGTACCTAGGCAGATAATTGGTGTTCCTGATTTGAGTGGAAGAAATTTTATCAGCCTGTACCTACCTATCATACATGTTGTTGTTCCTGATTTGAGTGGAAGAAATATTATCAGCCTGTACCTACCTATCATACATGTTGTTGTTCCTGATTTGAGTGGAAGAAATGTTATCAGCCTGTACCTACCTATCATACATGTTGTTGTTCCTGATTTAAGTGGAAGAAATATTATCAGCCTGTCTATCATACATGTGCTGAATTTTAACTATTTCTGTTTTGGGGTTTCTTGTGCAGTTTTTAGTTAAATAAATAATTGTTTCTGTTGCAGTTTGGGTTCCTGAGACTTGACGATGATGGGACTACATCAATGACTATTTTAAATCCATGGAATGAAGGCATTGGTGAGTTTGTCCAGGTTTCTTTGGCTTCTTTTAGTCTGTTTAGACATACCTAAAAGTATATTGTCCTGTTTATTTGATGTGTATATTGGTCAGAATTTCCCATAAGTAGTTTTTTTCAGTCCACATGGTTGATTATGTTTCCTTGTGGCATTGTAAAAGTCTCTGAGGTTTCATTTTGCTGTTGTTACTTCTGCAACTTCCATTTATCTCTGGGATTGGTCTGCTTTCTCCAGTTGGTGACTCTTGAGTGTTTGTAAGTCTACCGGTATATTATCTCTTTAACATCTGTGTCTGTCTCGTGGTCTTGGTCTATCCCATGCAACTCCTTGTGATGGCATCTTTTATTCACTTGCTTAACTTCTTTATTAGCTTCTGTGTTTTTCATAACAGGGAATAGACCTACTGGAAGATCTGAGCTACATTATAAAGACATTTGCAGACGTGACCTCATAGATACCAACACAGGCACATAGGCTTGTGGAAAAATCAGCCGCAGATCAACTACTGTGACAACAGAAAGTGGAAGATGGATTGTCGCATTTTAAATTAATCAAACGCAGCGAGTACAGACAGGAGACGCAGGAGAGGATATGAGCCTCCTAGCAAGGAAGAATCCACTCTTTTGTGTATCCTATGTGGCAGAGACTGTCACTCCCGCAACAGACTTTACAGTTCACAGCAGATACTGTTCCCAAAGCCAGCGGCACATCTCCGAAGTCCTCATGGACTGACGGGTGTAAAAGTTAAAGTGTTTTTCCAAGGCTCTTGCCATAGTAGCTCTGGTTTTGCTTTTGTTAAAATATCTGCTTCAATGTTTCTTTCTTAATGTTTTTAAGGATTTTACCCACTCTCTGTACTTTGTGTGCTGGTGTTCATTTTCCCTTAAGAACTTCTATACATTATTTATTTGAAAGCTTTTTATTACATTTTTTAGATATCTTACATTGTATTAATTTTTTCTCTTGAGTTTCAACTTTTTACCCCCTTGTGTGGGTTCCTGGGTCCCAGTTTGAAAGGAAACAAATAGTAGACTTATTGACCCTTAACAAGATGCAGATATTACAGCTGTAAACTGCATTGAAGCGGGCCAACTGCCCATAAAGAGCAAACACAGAAGAACTTAACTTTTTTTTAAAAACAAGAGAGTGATCTGTTCTCTGATGTGTGTTGAAATGTGTGTGTATGTGGTAGTTAGTCAGGCATGTCCAACTAAGGGTTTCCCAAGGGCCACATGGGGCACATTTATGTCTTCTTCTTCTTCTTCTTTTGTCATCTCACTGATGCCAGGTTGTAGCCCAGTCTCGTGGTTTTCTATATTTGTCTTGCGTTTCTCGGATGTCTTGGGTGATGGATTTGTTCATCTTTTTTGCAGAATTCAGCTACACCATTTATCCATTTCTGTATTGGTCTTCCTCTCGCCTTCCTCCCAGATGTTCTGCTGTAAAAAGTCTCATGTGCAGATTGGTCTGGCTGAACCATTTCATTCTTTGTCTGTCATTATAATCCAGACATGATTTTATTCACTTTCTCTCTAATGCTGGTATTTGTAACCCTGTCTCTTGTTGTATTTTTAGTGACCTTACGGAGACAGCACATTTCGATTGTAATAATTTTCTGTTCTAGTGCCCTGTTCATTGTCAATGTTTGTTGGCACTGATAACATAAAGTAGAGATAGAGATGCTATTAATCATTTGCTGTTTTGCTGGAAGGGAGACATCTGGGTGTCTAAGCAGTGGGGCTAACTGGCATTTGCCTTATGTACTCCGGCTTCTATTAAGTCTACCATCCTCTGTAAATATGCTTCCTAAATATTTGAATTCTCCTACTTGTTTGATTGTAGTACCGTTAACATGGTCGTCCATGATATAATAATTCCTGCCAATTCTCATTATCTGTTTTTGCTGTGTTTATTCTCAAATCATACTTTGTGCAGGTTTGATGTAAGGAGGGCCCTACACAGCTAATTAAAGCCTTCACTCAAATGTATTGTTTACAGAGGGCCGCATGTTTGATAAACCTGATATACTTGTATGTCATCCATGTTTGTACTTTTTTCTGGAAATTTCAGTGAGCTCCAATCAGAAAGTGATCAGCCTAGGAGACTACATGGGCAAACTGCAGAGTGGGTCGGGGTCATTGTTTAAATTTAAAGAGGATAAGAGGAATAAAGTCTGCCCAGGTATTGTTTTGTTTGTTTGTGGTGTACATCCTCTTTCTTTTTAGGGCCGGCCAATGGCTCAGTGTTGATTAACAAGAACATACCCACTGCCTACCCAAAATGTCGTAAGAGTTGGCGAATTGGGAGATTCTTTCGAAGTCAGGAGTGCATCTGCCTGAGAGGCAAGGAACCAGCAGTCTGCATACAAATGAGTCAGATCTGTGAAATGGATGCACACGCGACATTCAGGTTCTGGAAAAGGACTGCAGTCCAAAAGTGGATGAACAACCAGAACTTTCCGCTAGAGTTTACAGCTGGTGAAGACAAAGAAGAAGAAGTGTTGATTAACAAAAGATGCCACAGATGCATGTAGTCTAAGACCGTGGGACCTGAGAAAGCTGTTTTTATGGCTTTTGCGGGTTTTGACTGAAAGGTGTCTTTGGGCAGTGCCCAGTACACCCTTGATACTGGCTGCAGCTGCAAATTGTGTAGACATGGTGGGTCTTGTTATATTTAGACCAAATTTTAATAAATATATATTTTTTAAATAGTCAAGGGGAAGGAAATTGTGTAACTTCCTACTACTTTTGTATGTAATGATTACTTCCCTTCATGTAGAAATAAACCTTTTCTTGATTTAGACATTTAGTGACTGGGAAATAAATTGTGTTTTTCTTTTAGTGACATGACATCAAATAACAGAGGACCTCACGTCTGCCTGTCCTCTTGGTGGTCTAGGAGTTAAGACCTCCTAGATACTTATAAATACCTACCGAGACTCCAAATTTCTTTTGATTCTTTCTCTCTTCTTCTAGTTTCTTAGGGTAGTTTTGTAGAATTTTAAGTATGTGTTTAGTTTTTACTGAAATTTGATTAAAAAAAAATTTTTTTTCAAACGTGGTAAAAGAGTTAAGTATAGACAGTCCTGAAGAACTAAAAGTTCAGATTAAACAGTACATCACAATACTAAACACTTCTAAATATGGGAACTATTTTGTGAATTTGTTTATGCTTGCTTACCCACCCGAAGTTCCAGGGTTCAAACCCACACAGCAACTGATTTTTTCCCCCCTTCATAACTGAGACCTTGGCTTCCAGGTTTATCCAATATAAACTTCTTCCTCTTCTACTTCTTCTCCTTCGCTGTAAACTCTAGTGGAAAGTTCTGGTTGTTCGTCCACTTCTGGACTCTAATCCTGTTCCAGAAACTGAGTGTTTCACAGGTCTGGCTCATTTGCATGGGTCTCTGGGAATGTGGATGTACAGAAGAATATTTTATGGGGAAAAGGTGATGGGGAATGAAATACAGATGTTCTGTAGAGACTCAATGCAAAGAAAGTTACTGACAGAAATTCTTGAAAAAAGATAGAGAATTGAAACATTTTGGCTTTTTTTTTCTATTTCTGTCCCATCTATTTATGAATGCAGCTTCTTTCAGAAACTTATTTAAAAAAAAATTTGTGTACATATTCTGTTCAGATAGCATATGCGTCACACTGGCATTGATTTGAAGATTTAATTGTTATTCCTCGTACGCATGTAACCTTGTGTACAAATAACCATAGTATGTAAACAATCATTATAGTGAAGCACTGATACAGTTATTATAGAGTTGAATATAAACTGAGGTCCACGAAGTGTCACACACATTAGTTAAAACTGTGGGTTACTGGGTTTGTTATCAGTCAGCCCATTAGTCTTGTGTTTGAATCCTCATATTTTGTGTGCGAGTTCGTGTATGGGTACTGGGGCCCCATACTAAAGGGCAATAAAATATACAAAATGAAGATACTAAGATAGAAACAACATATTTTGAAACCCCCCCCCCCCCCCCCCTCCCCCGAAGAATAAGAGGGGAAAGGAGTAAGTGGCAACCCTGGGGTATCTGAAAGTCTTCTTTGCATTCACCGGCTGTAAACTCCAGTGGAAAATTATGGTTGTTCATCCACTTCTGTAGTCTTGCCCCAGAACTTGAGTTTTGCATGCACGTCCATTTTCAGATCTGGCTCATGTGTGTGCAGACTTTTGGTTCCCTGCCACTCAGACAGATGCACTCTGACTTAGAAGGAAACCTCTAATTAATCAATTTTTACTACATGCTTTTTGGGGAGGGGGAAGTGGGTCTACTTTTTGTCTTCTTCACATTATGACCCAGAACCCAAACAAGGAGTGTGGGGAAATGTTTGGGGAGGTTTAAGGTATCCATCATGATATTGACCACATCATTCATCGAGTATTTGTTGGTATATAATTATTCAACAAGTATCGGTTGTTCTATAATCATTCAACAAGTGTTGGTTGGCCTTGGTCTATAATCATCCAACAAGTGTTGGTTGGTTTATAATCATTCATCAAGTGTCGGTTGGCCCATAATCATTCAACAATTGTTTGGTCTATAATCATTCAACAAGTGTCGGCTGGTCTATAATCATTAAACAAGTTTCGGCTGATCTAAAATCATTCAACCAGTGTCAGTTGGCCTATAATCATACAACAATTGTCGGATTCAACACGTTTCCAGCATGATATTGACCACATCATTCATCGAGTATTTGTTGGTATATAATTATTCAACAAGTGTCGGTTGTTCTATAATCATTCAAAAAGTGTCGGTTGTTCTATAATCATTCATCAAGTGTCGGTTGGCCCATAATCATTCAACAAGTGTTTGGTCTATAATCATTCAACAAGTGTCGGCTGGTCTATAATCATTAAACAAGTTTCGGCTGATCTAAAATCATTCAACCAGTGTCAGTTGGCCTATAATCATTCAACAAGTGTCGGATGGCCTATAATCATTCAACAAGTGTCGGATGGCCTATAATCATTCATCAAGTGTCGGATGGCCTATAATCATTCAACAAGTGTCGGATGGTCTATAATCATTCAACAAGTGTCGGATGGCCTATAATCATTCATCAAGTGTCGGATGGCCTATAATCATTCAACAAGTGTCGGATGGCCTATAATCATTCAACAAGTGTCAGATGGCCTATAATCATTCATCGAGTGTCGGTTGGGCAATAATCATTCATCGGGTGTTGTTTAGCCTAAAATCATTCATCAATTGTCAGTTGGTCTATAATCATTCATCAAGTGTCAGTTAGCCTATAAGGGTTTATTGAGTGTCGTTTGGCCTGTAATCATTAATCGAGTGTTGGTTGGTCATTAATCATTCATCAAGTGTTGGTAGGCCTATAATCATTCATCAAGTGTTGGATGGCCTATATAAATGTGGAACTAGCACCATATATCCAATAACCTGAAGGCAAGGAGAGGGTCCTGTAACTCTTTCGATAACAGAAGACAGTTTAATTATAAAACAATGCATTTTGTATTTAAGCCATTGAACTTGGGGCAGATAAAACCAGACCATAATTATAACCTCCCTGTGTGGGTTCTGGGGCCTAATTTTAGGGAAAACAATAATCGACCTGCTGTCACCCTAACAAGTATGTTGTAAGAGTCGACTAACTGGTGGCATCGTTCAAAGTCGGAGTGCATCTGCCAGAGAGGCAAGGAACCAACAGTCTGCATAAAATAAGTCAGATCTGTAAAATGGATGTGCATGCAGCACTCATGTTCTGGAACAAGTCTAAAGTCCAGAGGTGAATGAACAACCAGAACTTGCCTCCGGAGTTGACAGCTGGTGAATGTGAAAAAGAAGAATTACAACAGAAGCTATTTTCGGCAGGGTTGAAGGTTTTCAAATTTTGTTCCATCAAACCAGCTACAACGGCAAATGAGGGATGTGATTTTTTTTTATACCAGAAGAGTTAAGGTTAAGTTGTCTGTGCTTCACTGTAATAATCCCATAACGCATGTTTGAAAAATGGCTGCTCATACACAAATAGTTAATAGTTTTTGATGTCACCGATTCAGAAACATACCTCTGCTACGGCCCATTCAGCTCCCACGCTCCGACCTATGATTCATCATTTGCCACATGCAGCAAAGAGGAATCTGACTTACTGTTGAGCACATATGGAGGGGAGACAGGTGTACAATACGCTAAAAGGTTGGAGTTTCTGTCCATTATCTTGCTTTCTGCATTGTGTTAAATATGTTTTTTAAATTAAGCACAAGAGTTCAGTACAGAATTAGTTAAAGCCCTGTTTAGGTTCTGAGGCCCCATCTGGGTGGTGGGGGTGGGGGGGGGGAGACCTGCTGCCACCCTAACAAGCATGTCATAAGTGTAGACTAATTGGGGGTTTCCTTTGAAGTCTGCGTGCATCTGCCTCAGAGGCAAGGAACCAGAAGTCTGCACGCAAAAGTTCTGGTACAAGTCTGAAGTTCATAAACAGACGGCTAACTAGAACTTTCCATAGGAGTTTACTGCCAAGCTGAGAAGAAGAAAAAGAAGAATTAGATAAAAGTAATGTCAGGAAAGTGGAGATATTTTGGGCACTCTGAGATGAAATGAGCAAATAATTACAAAACAGGTACTGAAATGAGAAACAAACAATCTGAGAAAAAGAGGACATGAAAGAGAAACGTTCTTTGTTCTCCAAAATGGAGCTCCGGAACTTAAAAATTAAAATAACCAACCATTGTCTTGTAACCTGTCAGTATTGTTGTTAAGGATGTCAGGAGTATTAAGCACATGACATCACAGTGGTGAGAATACGGTGCGGTCATAATGGCAGTTTAAAAATAGAAGCACCACTTTTGACATGCACAAGATGGAAGCAGCGTTCTGGTTATCAGTTTTTGATCAATGGAGAAGCAAAACCTACATAAATTCCAATACGTATACGGTTTACCTATGTGCGCAAATGTTTCAACTAATGTCTTTCTCTCCATTTATCATGTTAGTGTTCAGAAATTTGTGGAGTGTGCTGGGCTGAGTGCTGTGGAAATGGTGGACAAGCTTCTGGACACACTGACCAATGGCCAGCATTCAAAATCCAGAGTTCTTCTGGAGCAGCAGGTTGGTTTTAGCATTTATATACTACAGATCAGGAGGTCCCAGTTAGCTGAGACCCACAGACCCTCGTTATTTTGTAACGTCAGCAGAGAACTCGTATTTTTGAGAATGTCTTGTGTCCTATACTTCTTTATAGTATGTATGTATGTATGTAAGTTGTACCTCACCAGGACATCACATAAGTGATAAACACCTAAAGACACAAAGTGCCACCATGCCGATGAGGATCACCTGTGGAAAATCCATCCCACAAGGGGATGATGAAATATTCTTAATAGTAGAAATAGTAGATTTTACCCCACTATGACATCACACAAGCGATAAACACCTAAAGACACAGAGTGCCACCATGTCGATGAGGATCACCTGTGGAGAGGTCCTGGAAACCGCGTTCAGCCATTAGGCCATATATATGGTTGGGCTATATTGCGGCAGGATGGTGGGGAGGTAAAGACGGCCGGCGTAATACTGACCACATTACCCATCCAGTGCCGATTGGTCTGTAAAAATATGGGACGCTCTTCCCATATACCCGATGCGCCTAAGGCGTGAAAAGGGATTTTACTTTTTTGTTTTAACTATATTGCGGCCCCTGGCAAGAGCTTCAAAATAACAAAAAATTGCATCCCACTTCTTGACAGACTTCCTACCCCACCAGGACATCACACAAACGATAAACACCCAGTGCCACTATGTGGATGAGGATCACCGTAAAAAGGTCCCAGAAACCGCATTCAGCCATTAGGCCATATTAATGGCCGGGCTATATTACAGCCCCTGGCAAGAGCCAGAGAAGGGCTTGAAACAACGAAAAATTTCATCCTAAAAATGACGATGAATGATTATAAGTATAATCGCACTTTTTAATAGTTATACTGAAGAATTTTTGTGTGCTATAAATCACAAACCATTTCTGTATTTTGTGGGTTTATTATTAATGAAGTGTTAACTCCCCCAAAACTGTAACTTACTCATGAATTTGATTTTTTTGTTGTTGCTATTATGACCACAGTGTTTACTTTAACAGTCACATTGGCGGCCTAGGTTATTGTGCATTTTTTAAATTTATTGCGACAGTCAGTAAAAGAAAACATTTGCCGAGTTATATCCCTTTGAATATTTTCGCCTATTATTCCCCTTTAAAATATAATTCAAAATAAATTATATCTCGCTGTTATCTTCCTTGAAACCACATATCCATATTCGTCTGAGACAACACATTTGTCTGTCACCCACATTTTTAAATAATGATGTTAGTATTACAGGGGATGCCTCAGTTGCACTCATTATGTTAGATATCAGAACTAGGCCGACCAAGAAGAATTTAGTGATACACAGGCAGATCTACTCCTAATCTTCTTATTGGCGTTCACCAGCTATAAATTCTGACTGTTCATCCACTTCTTGACTTCAGTCTTGTTCCAAAACTTGAATTTCACATGCACCTCAGTTTTACAGACCTAACTTACTTGTATGCACACGTTCCTCACAGCTCAGGCAGATACATTCTGGCTTCGAAGGGGAAAACTTCTAGATAATCACCTTTTACAACATGCTTGTTAGGGAGGCACTGGTTCTTTTCCTTTCCCCCCTAAAATGGGACCCAGGAACCCACATGGAAAAGGCAGACCCACAAATACTTGGAGTCACTATCTAAAAGGAGAAGGCCGATCACAGAACAAACTTTATTTTTAAAGGCTCACAAATCGAGCACGCAGGCGCGTCTTACATTCGGATCCTTCCAAACACCCATCTTTCACGCAACAACGAACCTCAGGGGCTTGGAATGATGATGAAGGAGAAGAACTAGGTAGTGGAATAATTATTATAAGGCTAGTTTATAATGATGAGTCATTTTTATAAAATGTCTTCAAGAACTCTTCTGTCTAAAGCACTGGGATGTTTAATTAGGGCAGCAGTTCTCAACCTGTGGGTCACAACTCTTGGAGGGGGGGGGGGGGGGTCAAATGGCTCTTTCACAGGGGTCGCAAAACACATATTCATTGAAGTTATGAAGTAGCCACAAAAATAATTGTATGGTCAGGGGTCGCCACAACACGAGGAACTGTTTAGAAAGGTCGCCATATTAGGAAAGGTGAGAGCCACTGAATTGGGGTTAAAATAAAGTTCATTCTGCAAGACGTGAAGCTGTTGGGATAATTTTATTTTCACTGTTCTGGTCTGGTAGAATGTTAGCAATTTGCTTTCTTCTTCTTAATCCACAGTGTTCTAAGAATTGTGTAAAATGTAAGTTGAAAAGCCACAGTTGCTTTACTTAGTAATTGTAAACTTTTTAATGTGATTTTATAGATGAATGATAACTTCTTGGATTTATAAAAATAGCAATGAAGATGTCTTTAAAAAAAACTGACTCACAAAGAGAAGTGATTTCCCACATCAGAATGGGGCTATCTAAATTCTTTATTAAGTCATAAGAAGGAGAAAATGAGTACATCATCATAGTGGGAAATATGGAGGGGAAAAGAAGAAGAGGAGACCAAGAGAGAAGATGCTGGAAAATTTGACATCATGGCACAGATGATAATCTGTTTTAGAATTGATTGATTTCAGAATTAATTGAAAGTACATGAGACAGAAGGCTGTGGATAAACATGACTACCAACACTGTACGGCATGGACTGTCAGAAGAAGTATAACACTTATCTTTAAGTACGTGCAGACACCGCAACAGTCCAGTTAGGGAGTTGTCATAATGTTTTTCACATTTGATCTTTCAGAAACAGTTGGAGGACGAGCAGGCAGAGAGAGCCTTGCAGGATGAGATGATTGTCAGAGCTCAGAAGGTAGTCTTTTTATAACATACATACTTTCTGCTCTGTTCTTTTCTAGTAGGTTGACTGTGAAGCCTGCATTGAAGTTCAGGTCACCTGAGCCCTGAGAGTAAGTAAAGAGCCCTTTCTACGCCAGTGACACATTGGGCATATAATGCTTGACTCATCTTGTTAAGGACCAATTTTCCGCTCAGTGGATGATGTGATCAACCATTACTTCCCAGGACATTACCATTTAAGGCTAGGTCGACCTGAGAGACAAGCTCTTTTTCTGTTTTTGTTGTCTGAGACCCGGTCGTAGCCTAGTGTCATAAATTTTCTGCATTTGTCTGGTGCTTCTCTGGTCTCTGGCCTAGTTGATGGATTTGCTCGTCTTTTTGTAGGTTTCAGCTATGCCATTTATTCTCATTCTTGGTCTTCCCCTTGCCTTCCTCCCAGATGTTCTGCTCTAAAAACTCATATGCAGTTTGGTCTGGATGCCTTCTCACTAGATGATCCCTACTTCATAAGAAAGAGTCAGGGTCTATTTTGAAGGGAAAAACATCAATGCAGTTTTGAACCCAACACCTTCAGGCCGGCAAGCAAGCTCCTGGACCAATACTGAATTACCCTTTCCCTGGGGACTGTTGCAGGGCTTCTTTTTTTCCCGCTCTTCAAGATCAGAAACCATTGAGGTCTGCAAAACCGACTGCAGAACCTACCTGCGAGAAGGCATCTTGATCCTTGGAACATAGTTGGATGTAGAACTCAGCTATCAATAGACTGCATTATGTTTGTTGGTGTATGATTGACAGGGTGATACACATCATGTCCTTAGCTATCTGGACTGCATTATTCATTTATTCCAGCTTTCTTTTACAGAGGGATCCTTAAAATTCCTTGGACAGCCAAAAAGAGCAACCTAAATGTTTAGAAAAAGGTGAGGGCTCAAAGACATCAGAAAGAGACAGAATTTGGGTCATGTTGTGAGAAAAAAAACTACTGGACGTAAATTTGCCTAGAAAAACCACACAACAGCCAGGGGCTGTTGGGGTTGGTTCTGCAACATCCTGTAAAGGATACGCAACTAACCTGTGAGAAAAAGGAAACTGGAACATGTTGTGACCACTGGAAAGATCTGTGGAAAGAGAGACAGAGGATGATAATGTGAGAGGATTCTTGACAGCCTTCTGTCATAATATGGAGGTGTATCGGCACATGAACTGATGATTGCTGTTGAAGATTGCAGATTGTGGAGAGGCATGATTGCTCACGCAGCAGGACCACCACTTTCATCACCACCAACGTTTTCATCAATGATAACTATTATCATCATCAGTCTAACAAGGTGCCCAAACCATTTTTCTTCTGTTTCTCAAAGTATTGGCAATGTGTGTTTCCACAGTCTGTCTGGTATTGTTTCTTACTCCATCTCGGATAGTTAAATTGGTGGCTATCATCAATGCCATGCGCTGCACTTACCGTACCAAGAAGCACGCCAAAGGACATGACTCCGTATCCTGGTCTAGACTGATGTGGACATGGGGATGCAGCCTGGAGCTGCAGGAAATGTACATTTCACTAAGGGGACAAGACGTTTCATTAACCAACACAGAACAGATGTTATCAGTCGTTTGACACTTGTGGAGCTTTTGAGGAGGAGATCGGAGCACCTATGGATCTGTCGGGAGTTCTGTGATGATAATCCTTTCTAAACACTAATTGGTGTTTATCCTCAGACACCTGAGAAATCATGCAGTTGTTAACAATATCATACTTTATGATTTTCTGTACGAGAGTTTTTAGAGTATCTAAGTTTGGCACTGGTAGCACGGCAATGTTATGAATATGGTGTGAATATTGCACTTAAAATCTGTTCTATGATGTTATAATTGCCAGCTGGTCTATAAATGCACTTGTATTTTGGCATATTGTTTCTGTTTTTAAAAATTCTGTCTCCTATTAAAAACAGCACTTTGAAAATCATCCAGCAAACGAATATATTTCAGATTGGATTTAGACTCCCTGTTTGGGGTCCTGGGGGCCCCAATTGGGGAGGGGGGAACAGAATAGACCAACTGCCCCCTAACAGGCAAGTCATATAAGCAAACTAATTCAGAAGAAAGAAGGATTTTTAGGCCCACCTGTCTTAACTCTTTTTGCTGTCTTTTGGTAAAATGGTTATGTCTGGAGTGAATGATGATGGGGAAGTATCTGTGGCCTCTGGGCACCACTTGAGGGGGGAGGGGGGGCACAGATGAGTAGTTAACCAGATGACAGCAGGTGCCATCAGTATTGAGATTCTTCGCTGGCTATTGAGTAGGAAAGACGGAACCAAAATAGGCTTGTCCTGAGTGCTGTGATGTCCATTCCCTATTAAATATATGCTATAAATACTGCATCATGGCTTCCTTCAGGCAGCAGAGGAAGCCGAGAGAGCTGCGGCCAAAGACTCTCTTCAACACAAGCTTAACGAGACAGCGGTGATGCTCTCTGAGCTGACAGACACACAGCATAAAAGGTTGAGTCAGGACCCACCCTCGCATCTTGGTCTTATTTCTTCTCCTTCCAATAAAGAGGCTGATTTAGGTATGTTGTGCAGAAATATGTGTCTCATATTATTGTGTATTATGTGTCTATATTCCTATACTGTGTTCTGTATGTATTGTATGAAGTATTCCTGTTATTGACTCACAAAGAGAACTGATTGCCCACATCAGGAGACAATCTGTATTCTTTGATCATGTGATTAGGAGAAAACTGGAGTACGTTATGATGATGAGAAAGTTGGAAGATAAAAAAAGAGGCAAAGGGAGACAGAGAGAGAAGATGCTAGACAGTTTGACCTCATGGCATGGAAGGTCGTCTGTGTCAGAATTGATTGAAAGTACACGGAGACATGACTACCAATGCCACACAGCCTGGCCTATAACAAGAAAATTCCTGTTATGTACTGTGTTATATTGTGTGTGTGTATGTGTAGTAGATGCGTATTGCGTACAGTATGTCTGTTTTTGTGGTAAATATGTACTCATGCAGTACTGCATTGCATATAGTGTGCTTATATTTTTTTTTTAAACCAGTAAGTAGATCTGTGTTTCCTCAGTTTTCCTCTTGTGTGCGTTGTCTGTGTTATGTGTAGTACGTCTAGGGGTGTGTTTTTTTCTCTAGAGAAAGAAGATGCCGCTACTCACCACAAAGTCTCTGTAAACCACACACACACACAAATGGTGCCAGTACTCACCATAAAGAGTCTATTACAGTAAGCTGGAAAAAAAGATGCCTAAATAAAATCTCTTGGTAACCAGCTGTGTGTGTATTTGTTTGTTGTTGACCTTATAGCACACTGGAACGCTTATCCACTGGAAGGGCGTATAAATGCTAACCATTGTTATACCTTTCAATTCCTTCTATTCTGAAGTACATGTGTATGGTTAAGGAATATAGTGTGCTGAAGATTGTTCCAGTTGTTTTACATATGTCTGCTCCAATCAGTAGTTAGTGTAAGTCCTTCCTCTTGAGCCTAGGGCGGCACACAGGGCATAGCTGTCGATGTCTGGTGGTTTGTTGCCACCTGCTTTAGGTCTTGGATGTTCATTAGGCCCATAATTGAGCCTCCCCTGATGATGGTTCTACCCTAGGTCTTCCTTGGTCTTTCTAGTTTTGTTTTTCTCTTTTAATGTCCATATGAGGGCTTGATAGGGCAGTCTGGACTTTGTGAGTTCATGGTCAATGTAGTTTTGACAACTAGTAGTACTTACTGATTTGATATTCGTTAAATATTGTAGATATATGGTGACCTAGCAAATGTAAAAACCTGCGCTTCACAAGCATGCAGTCCCATGTGGGTTCCAGGGCCCTATTTTGGGGCGCAGGGGGGGGGGGGGGATAATAAAAGACCAACAGCCTCTGTATCACTCATTTAGTACAAGGTGACTAATTAAAGAGTTTGCTTCGAAATCGGAGTGCATCTGCCTGAGAGGCGAGTAACCAATATTCTGCATATTAATAGGCAAAATCTGTTAAATAGATGTGCCTGCAGAATTCAAGTTCTGGAATAAGACCAAAGTCTAGAAGTGGACAAACAACCAGAACTTTCCACCAGAGTTTCCAAGCAGTGAAGAAGAACTCAAGTTCTGGAACTAGACAAATTCCAGACATGGACAAACAACCAGAATTTTCCGCCGGAGTAAAGAAGAAGAAGACACTCATAAAGAAGAATTTACTGTGGAACAATAATTTTCTTTTTCAATATTTCAGCCAACAAAGTGACCAGTAACCTGATGAACATGGCCAAACAGGTCCAGCCCAGTGATGTGGTCAGCTCTCAGGCCGTCAGGGCAGCCATGGGCATCACCAGTTACCAGGTGCCCAAGGACAATTCTCAGGAAGCTTACAGACATGCTCCTGGCTTGACCAGTACTGCTGCAGCTGCGGGGAGAAATGTTGTGGTGTGCGATGATGATTCTGAAGATGAGGACAGCGGTGACAACAGCGATAATGATGATGACAGTTTGAATGAGGACATGGACTCGGAGGATGAGGAGCAGGGAAAACATGACGGGGCCTTCTGATCAACATGTGTTTGATATGAGCTGTGACTGATAGTTTGTGAATGAATGTTATGGTGCTTTATTAGTATTCTACCCCAAGCAGGGGAAATCCACAGGTCACGGGATAGTCTAATATTTAAGGGGGTGGTAGATAGGCTGCATGCAGTCGTGGGACCTAGGCTGCACTCTCTCGTGGGACGTAGGTGGGTTGGGGTTAGGGCCAGTTCTAGATGTTTTGGGGTCGTTAAAAGCATCAGAAAGCCAGGAAACCCAGTCTTAACACCCTCTCAAATGTTGGACTGTCCTGTGACGTCATCTGGGGTTATGTTATTTCTACATCCCACTGTGTGAAACAGATGAAATGATTTGGCCATCTGAACAGAATGTGCTGGCACCAACTACCACTGAGAGCCACGCTGAAGAAATGTAATGAACACAGAGCAAGAGGAGGGTCACACAAATAATGGAACGATGGCATCAAAAACAACCTTAACCCTTCCACCCCCTAAAATTAAAAAGAGGATTTTTTTCTAAACTGCATTAAAAAGAATGGATATAGATCAACACAGGCACAGAGACTTGGGGGGGAGGGGGGGGATCAGCTTCAGATCAACTACTGTGGCAAAAGAAATAGTGAAAAATGGATTGTCGCATTTTGAAAGTAACCAAACGCGGCGAGCTATAGAGAGGAGACATCAGAGAGAAGATCAGCCTCATGGCGAGGGAGAATCCACTTGTTTGTGTATCCTATTTGGCAGAGACTGTCACTTCTCACAACAGATGCTGTGTTCCCAAAGCCAGTGGCACATCTCCATAGTCCCCCAAGGACTGACGGGTGCTATTATTATTAATAATAATAAAGAGAAAACACATTATAATTCTCTGAAACTCCAAGCTTAGAAATAGAAACTACACGTAGAGAAGAAGAAGCAGAAGAAATTTTGGAGTCTTGTTTGTATTTTATAAAAATCCAGGGCATTGACACCTGTGACCAGCGAACAGACAGGCAAGTCGCTAGCTATTGCGTCATCACAGCCCCCAAGTAACTAAAAAGACAGATTTGTCTCATGTAGTCATTTTTTTTTTTGCACAAAGGTGATATATATAATAATATCTGTGTGTGTGTGTGTATCAATGGAAGTAAGCACTAAATAAAAACAGCAAAGAAATAACAGCTTTTCTTCCCTTTGACCAAGAAAACCAGGGTTTTGTCGACACAACCACAGACAGCAAAGTAATCTCATCGTAAATCTAATATGATTTCACAATAACATGATCAGTTGAAAAAAAATAATACCCATGTCAGTACAATGTCTAGTTGTAATCAGCACCAGACTTGTTATTGGGGCATGCTGGCTGCTGTCCAAGGATGTCCTGTCATCAGAAACTTGTAAAAGTCAGAAACTGGCTTTCTTGGGGGTGGCAGAGTTCAAGTTGTGAAGTTTAACTTTTACAATGTGTTAAAAAACTGGCTTTCTTGGGGGTGGCAGGGTTCAAGTTGTGAAGTTCAGCTTCCACAATGTGTTAGAAAACTGGCTTTCTTAGGTTTGGCAGGGTTCAAGTGTAGCGCAGCTCTCTTTTTTGTGGCGTACGTTGATGTCACACCCAGGTTCGTCTTTAGGTTTGCTACAGGAGGAGTCGATTGGAAGATTATAGACGAGGATAAAGATGGTCGTGTCGATAGTGGCGATGATGATGATGATGTCTTGCTAGCTGCATGCTTCTCACGTGATTCTGCTTGTACAATAAGGTGTCTGGAAACAACTATTCTTGTCTATACTGTCTTTATTGTGATACTCCAACAATGTCACAAATAACATCAAATGATATTCTGAATAGCGCTAAGTTATCTCTATGGCTAAATACTCGTAGGTTCGCGTTGTGTTCTTCATGTCTAGTTACTTTGTTAACTGGTTCCTGTGTCTGTAGCTGCCACCTGGCTTCTAGTACTGTTTGGTACTAACGGCTTGATCGTTGACTCTAACATCTCTATAGTGTTCCTAATATGTATCTGTTCTCCATGGATCCATGTTTCTCGTGTGTCGTCTCTGTAGCTCGATGTCTCGTTTCATGTCTGCTCTCCAGTGACTGTCTTCGAGGTTCAATATGTGACTGGTTCCTCTGCTTCCAGTGTTGAGCTGGCATCAAGGATCATTGAGACTAGTCGCTCGTCCTCTGAGTCTCAACGACTGAAGGCTTCTAGTGTTGGGTTTACATCTCTACCACTGAAGGCTGCCTTGAGAGCCCATGTGACTGGCCTCTCCTCTCTTGAGTCTTGTGGACTGAAGAATTGCTAAAGTGCTTTGTTACTCGCTATTTATACTTGGATGCTGGAATGCTAGGTATCTGTTTTCTTCTCGCTTTGTCTGCTTCTAGAATATTCCAGTACGCCTCAACTTGTTTACTAGGTATGTTCTCACGTGGGGTTTGCTAATTATATCTCGATTGCATCAGATTTCATCATCCTATTCTACGCAGATATAATAGCTAAACTGACAATTGAGGTCATAGAAGCTTCCAAAAAACAAGGGCAATTGCGTTTGCTTTGATAGGGCATGTCAACAAGGTATTCACTAATACGACAGGGTTGGGTCACATGATGAAAAGAATGCATTTCAAAACTTCTAGAAAGAAGGCCAAGGCCAGACAATGACGTCAAATGCTATTGATAGATTATTCATTTGCAAAACATTTCTCTGTTAATAACAAACGAAGTTTCTAGAAAAGAATGTCAAGGCTGCCAAAACTTGTTGATTTCTCTATATCTAGCTTTGTGCCTCCCAACGAACAAGCTATGAGCTCACTCTGTTACACAATGTTTCAGAAAACTGGCTTTCTTAGGGCGGCAGGGTTCAAGTTGTAGAGTTCAACTTCCACAATGTTTTAGAAAACTGGCTTTCTTGGGGCGGCAGGGTTCAAGTTGTGAAGTTCAATTTCCACAATGTGTTAGAAAACTGGTTTTCTTGGGGGTGGCAGGGTCCAAGTTGTGAAGTTCAACTTCCACAATGTTTCAGAAAACTGGCTTTCTTGGGGGTGGCAGAGTCAAGTCGTGAAGTTCAGCTTCCACAATGTGTTAGAAAACTGGCTTTCTTGGGTGCGGCAGAGTTCAAGTTGTGAAGTTCAGTTTCCACAATGTTAGAAAACTGGTTTTCTTGGGGGTGGCAGGGTTCAAGTTGTGAAGTTCAGTTTCCACAATGTGTTAGAAAACTGGCTCTCTTGGGGGTGGCAGAGTTCAAGTTGTGAAGTTGAACTTCCACAATGTGTTAGAAAACTGGCTTTCTTGGGACGGCAGAGTTCAAGTTGTGAAGTTTAGCTTCCACAATGTGTTAGAAAACTGGTTTTCTTGGGGGTGGCAGGGTTCAAGTTGTGAAGTTCAGTTTCCACAATGTGTTAGAAAACTGGTTTTCTTGGGGGTGGCAGGGTTCAAGTTGTGAAGTTAAGCTTCCACAATGTGTGAGAAAAAAGCACACAGGATCCCCTTAAATATCCCCAACATTTGAATGAGGTGACTAGAAGCAAAGATTGGGAAGAAGAAGAAGTAGTATACAAAACAAATCATCATATATTGATACACCTGGTTCTTACTGAGTAAAGTAAAGGACCTTTTATCCTGACTTGGTCCTTGCTCCAAATTTTTATTGATCTTTTTTGTACTTGATGGATGATGTGGTCAGTTTTTTCAGTATGACTTCTCTCCCAGAATGTTTTCTGCTGTCTGTCTGTCTGCTGCTAGAGGATCTATAGTTAGTTAGTGAATCAACAGAATATCCTCATTGTACGTCAGACAAGTCCAGAAGAGTCTGGATCATATCCCTCACTGTGTGGCGCCTAATGGCAGCAGTTCTGTGTTGGATTACTATGCTACTTTGGCTACTTGTATAATAGGGTCCTGTTCATGTTTTCCGGCCCATCTATACACTTTCTCAGTTGATCTAGGTCACAACGGTGTCATGTTGTACTGCTTTCTTCGAAAAGCGTCTCTCCTGTGACCTAGGCTCAGGCTGTTTGGGGGGGGGGGGGGGGTGTAATGTTCTGGGGTAATTGAAAGCTGTGTAGTTGTGTAGTATAGAACATGAAATATAGGCACTGACATAAATGGAAGCAAGACAACCTGACACCCCTCCGACCTCCGATGTAGAAGAGTCTGAGAAGGTCAGGCAGAGATGGGCCAAGAAAAGTGAACTGGATAAGAGAATCTAGATTCTGTTCTTAGTCATATGCTAATTACAGCGCTTGTGAAGGTGCAGTATGTCTTACCCCACTGGTTTATGTTGCTGTGCGAGGGAAAGAGGATCTCTGCAACAGTGTATCCTTGGAGGTGATACTTTGGTGTGGGGGTCACGGTTGACAGTATCTATCATCATGTATGTGGCATTTGTGTACCCAAAAAAAAAATGATTGCAGATAGGTTCAGAGATGAACATCTGAGAAGAACGTCAGCTACATAATTTGATGGCAGTAATAGTTCTCCGATCTCATGCATTTATCGTGGAAGATTCTTCTTAACATGAGCTGATCAGGCTCCCCCTTTTTGTCTAGAGGAAACTATCACTAGAGAAACTGATTGTGTGTCTTTTTTATTTTTTTTTTTGTAACAAATAATTTAGAAAAAGACAAAAATCCGATCAGGCGGAATGTGTTTTGTGTGTGTGAATCTCAGTATTAAAATCCTTGGCTGCTGTTTAATTAGTCGTGCTTTTTTTGGGAGGACGTGTTGCCAAGGAAGAAAAAAAGAATATTTGTGAGTACCTTCTGCTTCTGGTCCCAGCCATTTTTATTTCCAGTCGGACAGGGAAATCTGCATAATACTGTCCATTAGCACTGCGGTCAAATGAATAACCAGTTGTGTGTGTGTGTGTTTTTTTTTAAAACATAGATACAGAAGTATCAGTTTATGATGAACATATGAGGCTACTGAAATAGCAGAAATTCACAGAATTTTTCCCTCTGTGGGTTCCAGATCAAATTGTGGGGGGGGGGGGGGGGGGGGGGGGGGGGGGGGGAAGCAATATTAATACACC